ATTTGGTCGAAATGCCATCCTGTTGATCCCATAAAATCTCTCGTGCTGGTGTTTCGATTTTTACGGTTGCTGAAAAAAACATGGATCAAATACTAGGGTTTTAATTAAATTTTAATCTTTTTTCACTCCGCCGACCACAGATCCCCTCTCTTTTTCGAAATTTTATCCTGAAATTTCTTCTTTATCACCATTTTTCACTTTTTTTCTTCCAATTCATTACAAGGGAAATACAACTAATAAAAAAAATTTCTAAAAGATCATAAGAAATTCTTACCCATTGGTTGATTTCGTCGTGGCGCAACAGCACACAATAACTCGATTGCCCGTGGATTCGAAATCCAGCCATACATACGACGGAATGCTTCCTTGCCCTTATCAGTGAGTTTCTCCCAGTTTCTCGGTTTTGACAGTAATTCACTCAACGATCCTTGTGACTGTAAAAAAAAAAGAAAAATATTTACTCACAAAAAAAAGCAGTGTAAAAATTCAAAAAAAAACTCCGAAATTGCTTTTCAAAGTGATTTTCCTTATTCCTTTGTTGTATTATTATCATATTATTAAATGTAACCAATATTACTAAGACAGTTGGCAAAAACTAGGCTGGTCTTATGGCGAGGATGAGAGACAACAGATGGGCAAAGTGAATACTAGACAGTATTTGTGCAATGTTAAAAGAACCTAAGAAAAGCTGCCACGGCGATGGGACGCTCCGAAGAACGACTACTGGGAAATATGGGGATGAAAAAGACTCAAATGGCGACAAATGAAAAGCGCTTTTTTTTAAACCCAATTTTCTCATTACTTCCATGTTTAGTCACGAAAGCTTTCCAGTCCCATCATCCCAAATCGTTTTTACTTGCGGTTTTAATTCCGTATTTCTCTTACAATTTTTAAAAAATCGTGACTAGGAGAAGGCAAAATTTTGGAATAAATGTACAAAAAACAAAAAAATAAGCACTTTCGATATCACCTTGACTACCTGGTTCATGACGTACTTCGCGAACAATCTCT